AGATACTGAGCCCCTGGGGTGTAGAAGAAGATCTTGAGATTACCAACAAGCACAGTCGAAGAGGTGAGTTTTAAGACAAGACAGATTCTCACATAAATAATAATAATCCTTGCGTTTGATATAGCGCCTTATCACGACACAAAGCCTCAAGAGGCTAAAAGTCTCCAATGTATTTGTCTGGCGAGGTACAGGTGACATTCCCCCCCCACCACTATCGCTCTGAGCTGCCCTCCTTCAATCTCTCTCTCAGTGGCTGCTCTACTGCAAGGAGAGATCGAGCGAGAGAAAAAGAAATTTGGGGACAATTCTGAAACGTAGTTTTCTTTGACTCTGAACGTGACGCGTGTATCATCCTTAGCTGCCTGTCTGCTGCACGTTTATGTCAGAGATGGAGAAACACATTTAATTTACAGACGACACCACAAGGCTTGTAAAGCTTTCTCCATTTCAGCAAGCTACCAGTCTCATCAACCGTGTCTTGCCTCCAATCCACTGCAAATTTTTTTAAGAAATAAAAATCTATTTTTCCTGTCACGCGATGTAAAATCAATTTCAAATTTCTTCAGTGCGGGTGAAATAAACATTTGTTTTTACTTTTGTCATCGAACACGAGAAGGGAGCACTTCCAGGTGATTATGATATTATTATATCAAAAGCAAGGATTGTTATTATTATTATTATTATCATTACTATGGCACCTTTCACTCCAGGAAGACACTGAGGTGCTGGACAGTCGAGGGTTGGATTTGGGAGGAGTGGGGGCGGGGGGGTGGGGGGGGTGGGGTTGGAGGGAGAGATATCTGGGGGCACGGTCAAAGAGGAAGGTCTTGAGATGATCCTTGAAGGCGGCAAGGGAAGAGACACTTGGGATGGGGTTCCAGAGTGGAGGCAGAATGCCTGAAAGCCGAATCGCCAATGGTGGGCCAGGCAGGTGGGGCTCGTGAAGAAGGCCAGTGCCTGCCAAATGGAGAGCACGGGCTGGTAAGATTTAAGGTGGTCTCAGAGGTAGGGTGGGGTATGACCATGGAAGTTAAATGTGAGGACGAAGATCTTGAACTCAATCCTCTGGAGGAAGGGAAGCCAGTGAATGTTCACCCAGCATATGTGCCCGTAGCTCACAGCTACCCAAGCGTCAATTAATAATAATATTAATAATCCTCGCATCTCGTGCAGCACCAATAACTTCGAAACAACAGGAGGAATTGTAAAGTGTTGTATGTTCGCTGACAAATGCACAATTTGCGCAGAGCAATGTCCGTTAGCCACGAAGTGAAGGTCTAGTGTTGTCTGAGGGAAAAACCTGGGGAAAAACCTCCTCCTTTTTTCAAACAATGCTGCAGGATCTTTAACGTCCACCTGGACGTAGGTTTAACATTCTGAAGCGCTCCTCAACAGTAGGCTCTTTAAGCAACTATCACTGGAAATGCTCCCGGGCAATTAATTGAATGGCAAAGGCTGCAGCCACCAAAAACAATACACAGGCGCAACTGTGTGCGCTTATCAGATCCAATCCTGGTCTCTTGAAAAGTTGCCGACAAGCTGTTAATTATTCCTAACTTTATTCGGAGGAGACGAGCACGTTCTTGGGGAAACTGCGCATTTCACAGAAACCAGGAACACTGTAAATCCAATTAGCTCATGTTTAATCTCTCTGGTTTCAGATTGCACACTTTCCTTTTATTAGAAGAGAAAAAAAAACACTGAATAATAAACTATAGCCCAAAGCCAAAAACGACTTAATTTTTTTTAATCAGCGCAAGCTTGTCTATACGAGGGACTGGCATGTCAAGCCAATCTTTTAAATCCGATGCTTCTTTATAAACATCGTGTGTTTATTAACATGCAAGAGAAGATGTTAATTGGTAGCTTATTAATACGAAAATGTATTGAATTTTTAATAGCAGCTGTTAATTAACACTGCAGCTTGGTAGCTTGTAACATCAGTATTGAGAAGTCTTTTAAACAAATATTTTCTTTAATGTTCAACACAGATCTTTTCTATCTGTCAGGTACGTGAATACCTAGCAGCTCTCTGCCCTTGCTCTCCCCATCCCAAGATGAGCTGCCATCGAATTTGCAGTGAAAGCAGCTTCTGTATCCCTCAGTCAGCATCTCACTGACTCGGGTAACGAAAGATACATTTCAGTTATAATGGGTCACTGGAGGTTCCACTCTGGTAAAAAGGAAATTCAGTGTAATATTGATAAAGGACAAGGAATGTTTCGAATGTTGGTGCTGAGATAGTCTACATGTTCAGGAGTGTGAAATGCATCAGTGCCACTTATAATATATATAATATACAATAATAATCCTTTTATTTAATATAGCACCTTATCACGTCTTCGAGACGTCTCAAAGCGTTTCACAGAATATACTGTGAAGTGAATTGACTGTATATTTTGAGGGCAAAACGCGGCAGCCAATTGCACACAGCAGTGTCCCACAAACAGTCGTGGATTGAAGTGACCAATTTTTTTTTTTTTTTGAATGAATGAATGAATGAATGAATGAATGAATGAATTATTACTTCCGGAAAAGCGATCCGCCAATCGACTAACAATCGGATTCCTACTTAACGCAAGGTAAACAAAGACGTGTGGAGTAAGGAAACTTGCCTAACATATCGCTCTGTCGGGAATCGAACCCAGATCTCTCGCTTGCAAGGCGAGCGCTCTAACCACTGAGCTACAGGACTCCACTTGACTATAAACAAGCAACCCGCTGAAAAAATACATCTGTGGAAACAACCCGTGAACACAGGATCAAGCTCGCCTGAAAGAGCAATGCGATGAAATATACTGGCTTCACTCACTGACCAGCAGCGTGCGTGAAGAACACTCACGTGGGCGAGATAGGGGATGTGGTGCCTATGGAGCGTTAAGCCAGCTTTGGTCAATACCTTCAGGAGCGAAGAGGGAAAAACTGAACGGAGGTTTAAAAACTTAAGGATGCAAGGGTGGCGAGCGGGCCAGGAAAGGTTGGGATCGAAGAACTCTACTAAATGGAAATTAATCCCTAGCCAATGAATGTAGGAAGCCTTTGTACTGCAGCACTCACTGAATCATTGATTGAAATCAAAGAGAAAGTGCAAATCCATTTCACACAGAACTGATTAACTTGTAGAATGTGTGCCTATCTCTGGTGCTATTGGACAGAAGTTAGATTGACTACACTTAGTGATGTGAGGAATTAAGAGCTGGATAACAGTGGGAATATCTTACGCGTGGATCAGGAAATCTATGCAACGGTAGGCACTGCAGTGAAGTGAACGAAAGTCAGCCGCAGTCAGCTGAATGATTTACTTTATAAACTGACAATATTACAGGCATTCTGAGAGAGTCAAGTGCTAGATAGGACACGGCAGATAAAGGTGAGGCTGGGGTGGGGCAGGGCAATCCGGAAAGAGGCAGGGAGCGGAGAGGCGGCAGAGACAGGCAATGAAAAACGTGTGAATATCCAGAACTCAAGACGATGGAATTCCTCACTTCCCTCTGTCAAACCAACCCTTTCAAATTCCAGAATCGTCTGCATAGTGCATCTCTCCTTCGCTTCTGCTTATTTCAGCCTTGCTGGCCTGGCTGCACTATGGGACCTGTCCTTTAAACCAGGCTTCTCAATTAAAAAGCAGCAGCATGTTGAAGCTGTCAGAATGTACCATATGCACAGGATGTTTCTGCAAATACAAATGAAAAGGACTGGGGGGGTGGTGGTGTAGGGGGAGCACAGTCAGCAAAGATAGGATCACTCTGGAGATATCAAAGAGAACCTCAATCATGTTAATGGCAGTAACATCTGGACCAATGTTACAGTCGGGCCAATTCTTTTTGATGTAAATTAACCAAATGGTTAAGACTGTCAGACCCGATTAAACCATGGTTACTTCAAAGGAATACAAGAGCGATATCAAGATAATCCATAACAGAATGCATGTCATTGAAGTGCTACCAACGAGACTCCTGGCATTGTTCAAATATTTTATTTATTAAAAAAAAAGCCATAGCTCAGAGCAAAATTAGAGAATTCATAATGGAGGATGAAAAGTATATAACATGTAGAGCAAAGAGTATAAAGAGAGATCGTTTTCCTATTATGCCGTATCATTTAAATGTAGCTTGTCAGCATCCACCTTTACAGTGCCTTATACTCATCCTGAAAGCCAAGTAAAAACTCCCTTCTCAATACAATTTTATTGTATACATCCCAATACATCCCTGCCCAATTTTAGTGTCAAACAATTTCCATTGTTCGAGATTGTGGAATACATTAGTGATCAGAGCACTCGCCTCACAAGCGAGAGGACCCAGGTTCAATTCCCAGGCAGGGCGAAACCTCAGCCAAGTTTCCTTACTTCACACACCTCTGTTCACCTAAGCAGTAATTAGGAACCTGGTTGTTAGTCGAGTGGCAGATCATTTTTGAGGGATAATAATCCCTTCAAAAATATAATCATTTGGTCACTCAATCCACGACTGTTTGTGGGACATTGCTGTGCCAATCGGCTGCCTCGTTTCACCCACAAAACGCACTTTACAGTGTTAGAATATACAACAGTATATTCTGTGAAGCACTTTGAGGTGTCTCGAAGGCATAAGGTGCTATATCAAATGCAAGTATTATTATTATTATACGCACCAGACGTTGGTCATAAACTCCTACTCCAGTGGACAATCACGGATGAGATTAATACCACTCCTCACTGGTCTCCACTGGCCTTACCTTCTGCTCAATTCAGAACATTTTTCTCCTGAAGTTCGTGATTGAAGCTATCCTAACCACAGTGGGTCAGTGTCAGAGTGGCGTGAGTAGTGCTTTCGTCTCAGGCGAAACTGTCCAACCAAACTGTTCCCCACGATAAAAGGAGTAACTTCACATTTATTAACACCATGTTGTCTTTCTCCTCGCTCCCCCACCCCGCAACCCCAACCGTCTTCCTCCCTCCCCCACAGAAACATAACTGCTTGTTGGCGACCAAGAAAGCCCAGAACAATGGGAATACTTACGACTGGTGAACGCTGCAGTTGTAGAACACAAAATCAGTGCTGGCAAACTTCTTCCCAGTTTCTTTAGATTTTAGATACAGCTTCACCACCCGCTTGTCCCCTGCACAAAGTGGAGATCACAAGGGTCACAAAACAGTCTCACCAATTAAAATCAGTGACACACGCACAGCTCTAAGCAACACTCATCGCACATAAACAATAACGCACGTTCCCAAAAGCATGATTTGATATCCTTCCCTGTTCAGCAGAGTTGCTGGCTAATGAGCTGACAGGTTGTTGATCAGCACTTCTTTTGTCAATTTCCTCAGGGGACGGTCAAGAGTTTTTGAAGCAAGATTAGTATCAAAGACAATCTGAACACCAGGAATCACAATTTCACACCTCCACTGTCTGTACACGCTTTGCAGAAAGTTTCTCTTATTTTCTATCATCTTTGAGCGACAGTCAGTGAATGTAAATGGGGGCAAAGCTCTCTCAGGATTCACAAAAATGCCCGATGGAATGGGATGGTTTGGCTTCCAAGACTGTTGATGGGCAAAATGCTGTTCTGATTATTATTTTTATAATAGACGCAAGTAGCTTTTTAAAGAGACACATTTTTAAGGAATCCTAAATCTGTAATTCTCTCCCCAAAAAGGCTGTGGATACTGGATCCATTCATACCTTCAAGACTGAGGTGGATAGCTATTTGTTAGGTCAGGGAATTACGTACCAGGCCAGGGCAGGTAATTGGGCTTGAGGTACAGATCACCAATGAACTTAACAGAATGGCAGAACAGGCTCGAGGGGCTGAATGCCCTACTCCTGTTTCTAAGAATGGAATTAGTGGAGGGGCCATGGCAGAGATAGGAGACAATATGACAAAAGAATCCGGAAAAGTTAAGACCATTTGTGAAAGAGAAATAAATCCAACAAGAAAGGGCAAGCAGCAGCAAGATTTCATGGATGAATCAGGAGCTAAAGACAAAGATGAATTCTCCGAAAAAGACACTAGGAGTCAAGAACTTGATGACTGGGACTCGCACAAAGCTTGTGGAGGATAACTGAAATGGGTATTAAAAGCTTTAAGCAGGAAATAGAAAAGTGGATTGTGGAAACGAGCAAAAGGGATCAAAATCGTTCGCCTTTGAACATTACAATAAAGAACCCATTACTTGTCAGAATTTAAAATGTTTGACATTAGCAATTTACTTTGGGGATTTACCTCAAAAGGAAATTAATTATCTAAGGAATGGAAAGCCAAGAAGTAGGGAGAGATAAACGCAGAGCTGGAAAGCCAAAGGGAAAGGAGAGAAAATAAATTTTAAAAAATCAGCCTCGGAGAGCACACGAGTGTGACATTGACATTGTTGGAAATTTTCAGGACCCAAGATCGGACCACTCCATGCATCCCGCAGAGCAGTTTCACCAACAAAATGGAGCACGGGTGACAACCGATGCTGTTTACACACGAAACACCCGTGAATTAATTCAGACGACTTTGTGATCCTTCAGAGCAGACCCAATGCATCTACTGTCACCTTATCAGCCCCATTGAGCTCAGGCATCTGGACTTACCCTGGCCTCTGGTGATGGGGATAACTTCTCTGGCAGATGGGGACCTGCAGTAGATCCTCCCGTCCATTATTCGTCCCTCAGTCTCTGTGAAATCCTCAAAGGAGCAGTTGACCCCAGTGGACAGATTAGGCACATTCCGAGCTTGCAGCATCAACTGTAAAGAGATGGTTGAAGCACATAAGACACCAAGAATACTAGAAAACTTTTGTGTTTTTTTTTCTTCCCTTATCAAACTTATTATTATTTTTATTTACTGATCTGTCCCTTGGCCTGAATCACTTTTTATATTCCTGAACTTACAAGGGAAAGGAAATGATGCCAGATCGCACACGGGAATCAGTGGAATACTCGGCAGAAGCAGGGCAAATAGTAATTACTATCACTAGGGCAGAGCAACACACCCGGGGAATGAGAGAAATGGTAAAATCGCATTAAACCATGTTTTAACTTTTAATCAACTAAAAATACCCAATTTCAAATTCTGTTAGACTTTGAGGATACAATCTTTACACAATTAACGCAAACATACGAAATGAACATATTGAGTAGCTGCTGCTGATATAAGACTATATTGAATGACTGCTAATACCAGTCTATACAGAGGAGCCACTGTTAATTTCCTCACGTGTTTTGTTAAGATAATTAAAAAAGAATCTATGCCAAACTCACCAGTTATACAAAGTAGGTGACTTTACCCAAGAATTGTTACTTCAACAGAATTCGGCTGAGTGCTTTTTTTCCTCACTTATAAAACAGTGCGATCCTATTTCATTGACATTTTAGCATCTAATTCCAAGTGAATTGGTCATTGCACTTAAAAATCTTATTTTGAGACATTTCAGCGTGACAGTATGTGAAGGACGAGTATGAAAAGACATAATCCTGAGCAGCTCCGCATTGTTTGGCATTGTATTCCATCTTTTTTTGGTCATCTGATACCTACAGAAATCCATCACCATGCTTCAGAGTGTCCAAACCAGACAAGAGTTCCACACCTACATGTATGCCACTACTTGGAAATGTCCCTACGTCTGGAACAGAATGCGTACCCTCTCTCTCTCTGGAGAGACACACCCTGCTTACCTAATTCCAGACAATATTAGGCACAGGTTGGCAAGAGCCGAGGCTTGGGGAACCCAGAGTATGCACTGGGATACTGCTGGACTTTAACCAATTAAAACTACATAGCCTACCATTGAATAGATTGCTTGGGATAGATATATACCATAATATTACCTGCTCATTAAGTCAGTTTTGACTTTTCCACATAGGGTCGGTGAAGTGCAGTTTTAGTGATGGGGTGGGGGGGATCTATGGAATCGTGAACAAAGGCCTGGGACCACACTAGCCCTAATCATCTCTCTTTTTCACAACAAATAAATGTCAGCCTCTGAAGAGTTTCGAAAGCTGGAGTACTCACCAGGACAGCAGACATAGTGACCGAGATGTTCATGGGATGCACACTCAGTTGGACGCACATGCGTAGGTTTGAGGTGAAGCGTTGAGCCTCGCTGGCCCGGTCACACTTGTCCCTGCGAGAGCATCTGAAGCAAGATTAACATCGTTAGTCACACACCATTCAAAATTAACAGTACTAACATCTCTACAGACAAATAACAAAAGTCACACAAAGACGAGCTTTGGGCAACTGCTGGGTGGATACTTGGAAGAGATATAAACTGAGGTCAGGTGGATAAATATGCCACAATATTATTTCAGAGAACAGTTACCCAATGTCCTCGCTAATATCCTCCCTTACCAAAATTCAAAGAAATTTGTTGATCGTCCATCTCACCGTTTGTGTATTGATAATGGAAAAGATTAGCTTCTCTTTTTTTTGCTTACACAGCAATAGTTAATTCAGAGTAACTCGCCTCACGAAGCATTTGAGGACTGTGATGTGATAAGGTGCTGCATGAAATGCAAACTTTTTATTTCAATTAACTTTTGCTTGAAAAAAAATTGGGATTCTGCCTCTGACTCATTCCAGAATATTCTTCTTCTAAATTCTTTAATTCCAATCAAACACTCTCCCTCCACCAATTATACACGTACCATGAACAGGAGTCCTGTAAATTATTTTAGGAATAGGACACTTATCAGCTAAAGAGCCAACACTTGGCCCAGTATTTGTGTGATACGAGCTTGGATAATTACATTTTGCATCTCTTCATTTGACAAATTCAACACACTTCACTGCTAACACATCTAAAGGCTGTTTCAATCTAACTTGCTATAAATAATTAAAGAAATCAACGCATGACCTGAGGTGGAGCTCTGCCCAACATACATAGTAGCTCCAACAACCCACCTCATCAAATCCTTTCAGAATAGTAAACCCCTCGATCAGGTGCCCTCTCAATCGTCTCATTTCCTGAGAGAAAAACTCTAAGCTGTCCAATTTTTGATAGCTGTATCCACTCATGCCCGGTAAAATCCTTGCACGCCTATGTTGTAATCTCTCCAATGCTACAATATTCCCTCCTGTGTGTGTAATGTGGTGACCAGACTGTGCGAGGTGCTTCAAATGCAGTCTAGCCAATGTTTTATATAACTAGCATTACTTCTCTACTTTTGTAATAATATAGAATAATCCTCGCATTTGATTCAGTGTCTTTCATGTCAGGAGGACCTCTCAAAGAGTGTCACATCACAGAATTACTGTAAAATGCAGTGACTGTATTTTGTGTTCTGCCTCCGGATATAAAGCCGAGGATGTGATTTGGGGATGAGCTGCTAACCTCACGTGTTTCTGTGACGATTATCGTAATTCACCCAATTCTCGAAGGCTGTGTTTGCAAACAACGATGAGTGGCTCCATCAAACAGAATGGGAGGTGGGGTAACGGATCCAGCCAGCGAGCCTTAAAGGCTCGTCAGCATTATCCCACCGTGTGGAACCTATTCTTTAGAATGGAAAGGTTGTGGGGGACTTTACTTCCTTCAAGCTACAACCAATGCAGTAGTGAGTTTGATGTGAATGATGCGCTGCTGAGATAAATTGCACTCAGCATTTCCTCAACCTAGAGATGTAGCCCCGGACTCTCACCCTCTCTTGATGGTATAAAGGCATCAGTTAAGAAACTAGCACTTATTGCCGACTAAAAAAAATCTCAGATGATGCGTTTACTGCCTGAAATGAAGTGAAACTCAGCCAACTGAGATCAGCAGGGTGCTAGGTTCCAACTCCAATGGAAGCTGACAGTCTGTGTGACACTCAATGGACATGTTACAATGACCTTGGTGTTTCTTGGGTGGGCTAGAAAAGTGGAAACCTCAGTCAGGTATCAGCACACCTTTGCTGTCCAGTCGCTCTCACTGGCAAAAGGTTCACGTTAGGGCTCACCCAGGATCAAACAGCCCAGTGATACTCAGTGTGTGAGCTCACCGGAGAACAGTGGCCAGTTGGACAAGGTACCGGTCGGTGATGGCTTGTGGAACTTTACCTCAGACAGGGACAGTGTCCTCTGAGGAAATGAACTGAAGCAAACAAAGCAAAAGATGTATTCACCAACAGAGAGCACAGGATTGTGCTCGAGGAGGATCCAGGCCTATGGATTTGATTAAAATGTCAAGAGCAGCTTTTCTGAATGATATCATCTCTTTACGTCGAGGCATATGGATTAAGCGAGGGACTTTCTACGGAGGAATTACAGAAATCTGTTTTCCAACTCTATAATGCCGACCCCACTCTTGACAGGAGGCGCAATCCAAGTCAGGCAATTTCCAAAGAGAATAGCAGCATTTGCAGATAAAACGTGGAGTGGATAATCTTGGCATCCCAACTCAAGGACTCCAGTTATTTCAGATGCAGGAAAAAATAGGATATTACAGCTTCTCCCCCAAAAAACTTGTGCAGCTTTTAATTTTCAACACACTACATACGCAGACAAATAGCTTCAAAGGGACATAGAGAAAGAAAGAAACAACCAGGGTGTTGAAGATAATTGTTGTTCCCAATGAAGCACCAACTGGTGTGAATCCCTCAAGAAAACAAATCCACGACTGTTTGTGTAGACTGCTGTTTTGCCCACAAATATATAGTCAGTTTACTTCACAGTATATTCTGTGAAGTGCTTTGAGATGTCTAGAAGATGCAAAAAGCACTGTATCAAATGCAAGAATTATTATTATTATGAATGGTTAGGGGTTACTGTGGTCCCTTGCCTTTACCCACAGCATTGGCAGGGAGTTCAGTGGTGGTCAGATTCATGACTGGCATAGACTGAGCATTCTGCTGTTTCACCGTGGTGCACTCTGCATTAATTTCTTACGATCGAGTACATTAAAATTCAGCTCTCAAATAAATTCAAATCAGTTAGTGTTTCCTTTCATTTCCCTGTGAATAATTTATACTTGACTGCTGTCGAGCAAAGCACAATCTCTTCCAACCAAGTCACTTCCTGTTAAGCCTTGTCCAGCTCGGCTACACCACAGACAGAAAGCAATAATATCTTGTGAAAACAGCAAGGACAACGACACCTAAATAATTAATGTGCTAGTGATTAATCAGAGTTTAATATCCAAGCGGAACAGCTTTACGTCCACAGCAGAACTGGGCAGATGAATTCTCTAGAGCACGAGCACAGTGTTTCTGCATGGTGTGGCAGAATTGTGGGATCTGTGTCCAGTGAGAGACAGAATATTGCGGTCAGGTTTTCCCTCAAAAGTGAACAGATAAAGTATCTGACTTTAAAAAGCGCAATAAAAACATGCTCACTGCAAATGTCAGGCTTGAGTCAACCTTGGAAAAAAAAAAGCCATGCCCAGAGTTTTTTTTGTTAGCGGTGGGGGAGTGTGGTGTTAAGGAGAGTTCAAACGCAGATCTTCCTCGGGAGATTTAGTTGGTCAGTTACATAAGAAATGCTAGACCAAAAAAAACAAGGTCCATCTAGTTCACCTTCCACCATCCTGGCTGTCACACGCACATATGCCCCGAACTACCTATGTACTATAATAAATAATCCTTGCATTTGATATAGCGCTTTTCACGTCTTCTCGACGTCTCAAAGTGCTTCACAGAATAGACTGTAAAATGAATTGACCGTAAATTTGTGGGCGAAATGTACTATGTCCCATATATTATTTCCTAATCTTTGTTTGAAGTTAGCTGCCCATCGGTGGAAGCAATGAGCTTGATGGACCGAATGGCCTTTTCATCCCATGAGCTTTCTTGTAAGAATGTTACGGCACAGCACAGAAATAGGTCATTTTGCCCACCAGGTCTGCACTTGTGCTCATTGGCAAATCAGACAGCCAAATCTATTCCAATCCCATTTTCCCGACAGCTTCCCATATCATACCCGTACGTTTTGTTGAAATGTTGTTCATTGTCTATTGTTCACAGTCTGTTGGCTCTGTCAACAATACCTTTTAAATAACTTATTTGCATTTCAGCTTTGCTACAATATTACGCAAAGATGGAAAGTTTCTAACTGAGCACATCATAGTGATGTATTGCAGGTATTACAGACACGCAGGAATTACTCGACCTTTTCTCGATGAAGCAGATTTTTTTTTAAAAAAAAGCTGTCCATTAAATTAAAACTTGGGTTTTATTTGGTCAGCAAAGAGAAAAAGGGAGAGATTAATGTTACTTCCATCTCTCACCAGTGCAGGAGATTGTGATCCATCATCTGTCGTGATAAATGTCACATTGATGTGAATCACTCGCTCACAAGTTTTGCTATAACGTTTTTTAATGGCTTCACTGATGGATCAGCAGGTAGATAGATAGCACCATGGTGAGGCACTGAGGTACACAGACCAAAAGATTGGAGGAGAAGGGAGGAAGCAAGGGGGGAAATTAGGGTAAAATGGGCCACAATATCACGTAAAGAAGCCATTATAACATAAGGGGACATAAGAAACGTGAACAAATTGTATGATTTGCAGTATGGAGGAAGATCCAGGGAGCACAGACCTATGAGGAGATGCTTTACACAGAGATCCTGAAAGTTTACACAGAATTTTTGGAAAATTCTGGAAATTCAGAGTTCGTTATCACTGGAGAAAAAAAAAGGCTTTCAAATTAAGGCTGATAAGATTTTTTTGAAAATTCTGCAGTATCTTAAGATTATGAATGAGGCAAGACCATGAAAGTTTAGCTCCAGGCCCCGAAGTCTAAAGCGCTCGCCTGAAAGTCTCGAGAACAAGCACTTAGTTTAAACAAACGTCGGTATAAAGAGTTCTAAAGAACTCTTTGTGAAGATTAGATTCAGCGATAACTGGTTCGCTCTCCCTCTCAGGAACTGCGATGTCAAGCTGCTGGATCGCGCTGATTTGTGTTAAGAATCGATCATTAGGAAGAAGTCTCCACTTACACATTGTGCAGGACACACCAGCCACAGTGCGGATCTCGGGAGCCCAGACACACCTCACAGCTCTCGTACTGCTCACAGCTCTCCACTGGAACACGGCTCACCTGTGCAGACAGCAAACAACAAGTGTGAGTCAGCTCAAACATTGACCTTTCTTAGGTCTGCAAGGGATATACATCATCGGCATAAAAAAAATTGCACAACTATTCAGCTGCTTCACGTTCCCCCTCCTTCCCCTCCCCCCACACTGTTTGCTCCTATTCCTCTTTACTTGTCAAATCTCCATTTGACGTTTGCTGTGAGGCTAATGATAGATGACATGACCTTCTCTGCACATCATCATATAATACAGTATGGCTGTCATTGCAGACATTCCTTGCTGGCTTTCCAGTCAAGGTCCGTTATGCTAAATCAATTCTATTAACCTACTGAGCCCAAACTTGAGACATCTGGTTAAGACAATCTATAACATCATTAGACTAAGTCTGGGCCTGAAACATCATTTGTGAAATGCTTTTTTGAAGTATAGTTGATGCAAAGTCGGGGGTGCGGGCAAAGTATTAATCCACATTATGTGCACAACCCCAGAGTTTAGGTGATGAAATTCTTGGATCCATGCTGGAGCAAAGGTCTTTTGGCTATCGCTTTACCAAACCCAAACTCTGATTCATAATTACCTTCACTATCCCTCTCACTCCTCTGCTTGCAAAACACTTTCCGAGGCTTTGGGAACCAACGGTAAACCCAGTTTGAAACTTCCTGATCCTACTGTTACTTTTCTGGCTCTCATACAGGATTGGCTGAAGAGTTTGATATTGGATCTCTGCCAAATGCCTCACTGGCTGCAATCGAGTCAATTCTTGGCCTGGGCATGGCTTGTTGTCAATGGAGTCACCGAGCCAACAGTTGGAGACACAAACTGATAATCACTTGGATTTGCTGGTGGCTTAATTAGATTATTCCCATTAACATTTCAGTTCCCCCCTCATTTGGCACCTAGGGTGTTGAGCAAACAGTGTGTCATCCAGAGCCAAGCAGGTACCAGCTGGGGCTCCAACAGCCAACCTTGTGCCCAATTCAAAGCCAAATGGTAATTAATGTTTGGTACAAAAGCACTTTCCAAAGGTGGCCTCTCGTTCACTGAAGACGTAGGGGAAAAGGATTGACTGACGTAACAGGATTAGCACAACCTGTCAATCAGCGGCTTCTGTCACAGCTGGTTTGGAAGATGGGAAAGAGAAGAGACATCAGAGGGATTATGCAAAAGTCATGGCTTCCAACTCTGATGTTGTTGTACACCAGGACTGTATATTTGACCTGAGGCCAATTCAATCTTTTGGCGCCAGGGGCATATGTAAACTCAGCAGTCAGATTCACCCTCCTCAGAGAGAAAGAGCACATCATCATAACTTATAAATTCACAGCAGTTCCAAAATCTATTTATATGAATGTGAAACTCCATCTAAAAACGTGAAGATCCCATTGAAGGACTGCTGGATAAAACTGCTAAAGTTAGTCTCGGTTATTGGAGAAAAAGCTACTAAGGAGCAGTTAACTTCTCTCAAAGGTATTTTGCTATCCTAAAGTGATGGGCAACAGGAAACAAGTACCTCCTCCCCGGGAGTCACATTAATATAAAATGTCCAATTTATTGCTATTTGGCACAAAGTTTACCTTGTTTTCGGACGGTGACATGATTTGCCTTCTGGCTACGAGGCTATCAGTTTCCCAATAACCCATCTGCTGAGCGATATTTAAGCAAGGAAAGCTCACAGCACAGCTCATTTACCAAGTGTGTCCCTCAGGTGAGAAGCACATCAATTAAGACACTTGTTTTCTGCCACCATGGTTCTGCTGAAACTTAAAAGTGGCTCACATTCTAGCCGCAATGTTAACTTTTTCTGCTCAGGCCCAACCTGAGCTTATCCACCCAAAGGACAAACACGGCTCTCCATCTGTGTATTATCCAGAACCATGCAAGGGTCTCTTCCCTTCCAAGCTGTATTTGCAAAGGAGATTTTGCTACAGAGTGCAATGGTACAAACTGGATGTGCGGTGGGCAGATCTGATGTAAACACTAACCCTCTCCTCTATCTGCCCACTGCAAGACCAGAGGATTGGGTACACTCACACTGTCCTTTTAAACAAATGGGACTGCAGCTCAGGCCACATACAGTCGTTCCGGGAAGCTTAATTATGTAAACACATTTCTTCCTCCGCTCCCAGTATTTTACCATAGAAGGCTATTTCAGTAACGCAATCAAATCGAGGCCCTCTTAAAATTTCAGTGAGAGGGGAATAAAAATGAAGAATTCACAGATGAATAACCATTCTGTTTCCTGACGTGAATTCAACATTAAGCTCTGAGGCTTAAGAGCCTCCAAGATTTCAATTACGGTTGCGGCAATTATCAGCAGAGCTGAGCAGAAACAAGGGAAAGATTTCAAAATCAGAGATTACGACCAGATTAAACGTGTATTTTACACCAAATACATTTTTTTTAAAAAAAACACAAAAGCAACATCTATAAATTCCATCAAACATCACGGAGCGCAATAGGATGGAAAGAGGGCAGGCCGACTGAATCGAAATCAACTGACACTTCCTCTGTTTTCACCTTTGACAAAATGAATTGCGAGCATCAATACCTCAGCTTCATATTCAGAATCCACAAAAATCTGCCCTGCCTCCCCAGTTTACCTTACACAATGGGTCATAGATTCAAGATAATTGGCAAAAAAACACAGAGGGGAGATGAGAATTTTTTTTACACACACAGACAGTTGTTACGAATGGAACAACTGCCTGATAGGATGGTGGAAACAGATTCAATGATGACTTTTAAAAGGGAATTGGATAGGGACTTGAAAAGGAAAAACTTGCAAGGGTATGGGGAAAGAGTGGGGGAGTGGGACCGATTGGGTAGCTCTTTCAAAGAGCCGGCACAGGCTTCGGTGCTGTAATATTCTGTGGTTCTTTGATTCTATAAGACAGAGGAGCTCGTCAATAGCACCACATTCACACTCGCGCGCATAAATTGGAATGCAGCATGTCAGCATTAGTCAGGATTATTCGCTCCTGTTTTAAGATTTTTATCCCCAAAACAATAGATACCTTCATCAGTCAGCCTAGGAAATAAGCCAATAATATAGGTAGCTCCTCGGGTAGAGAGCTGAGCTAAAAGAATGCAGCTGATTGCGTACTCTCGCAACAGATGCGGCAACTGGGGGAAAAGGTGTTGAGACCCACTCGCCCACACGCACACACAACCCCATTTTTTGACCGCACAATGCAGGCAGCGAGGTAGGGAGTGCCAGAGATTTGTGCTGTAGTGGCTGAAGACATGGCCACCGATGGCGGTGGTGGGAGAGAGGAGATGTGCGGCAGGCCGGTCAGTGTTACCTGAGCAAAGGGGGCAGGCCGAAGAGTGGGGCACGAGCAGGTCAGAGAGACAGGGAGATGCTTGGGCGTGAACTGACGTGTTTGCGAGGGCGAGGATCTTTTCGTTGAGGAGCCAATGGGTGATGATAGGCATATGGACTTTTGTGCGGGTGAGGATATAGGCGGTAGAGTTTGTATAAGCTTGGCCTTGTGGATGGTGGAGCAGGGCAGACCAGCGAGGAGTCCGTTTGAGAAAAACAAAGCGTGGAGGCTATTATATGGATTGAGATCAAAATCTTCACAATCCTGTACAAATGACTTCATCCCTTGGTACATTTCCTACCTATCCGACCTGTTCACACCCCACTACTCTACAGCCCCTTTCACTCAGCTGGATCCGGGATCCTGCGCAGCCCTCTGCCCCTCTACTCTAGGCGGCTGTGGATTCAGCCACTATTTCCCCGAGACGCTGAAACTCTGCCTCAATCCCTTGACCTTGCTCCCTCCTTGTCCGTCTCAGATCACACCTGAAGACCTCTTCTTTGACCAAGCCTCCAGTCACCTCCCCTCCTCTCCCTGGCTCAGTGACAAACCACCCCTTTTGTAAGCGCTCAAAGACACTTCCCTTCTTGAAGGGCAATGATTAAATGCAAGCTGTTGTACAGATTGTTATTCCATTATTTTATAACACATTACAAAGTAAATATTTTGGAACAACTGCAAAGCCTGAATTTAATTGGATTATGATTGTCCGAAACATCATTTCCTCGACAATGATTCTTTTCATAAACGAACCAAAATCCTAGATTGAATGTAAAGCCAGTAATCCCTCTCCCTCTTGCTACCCCTCTCTTTCTCCTCTCTCCAACCCCCACACTCTCAATGGCGATGCAACAGCAGAATGTCAGCGCAAAAAGCTATTAATCTGTATACTGTTCTCAAGCGAAAGCCTAATGCAGTGTTAGTGTTGAAAAGCATAACATAATGGTTGGAGCAACACTAACAGCCTGCCCAAAGAGATTCCACCCTACACCGCTGTACATGCATATTTAGTCTAAACATTCTGATCAGAGGGGACTTGTCAAGTGCAAGAAACGTACAAAATTAATCGACACACAACTTGTAAGCACAGAGCGGTACCTGCTTCTGATCATCACACAAAGTCTACCCTCCCACCTCCAGCAGGGGTCTCTGTGTATCAATCAGGCACAGGAAACCCGGTTGATTTTAACCTCGCTAACCTGAGGCGCTGAAACAAATTGCAGCTCCCTGGCTGAAACCAGGGAACACAGCACGCAGCACCGGCCCCGCAGGGATCATACTTGATGGCTGCTTTGTACAGCTCAGGTACTCACTGGCTAAAATCCCTGAGCTATCAGCCAGCTGTTTAATGTCTCCTTGCCGTGCAATTATTTCAGCTCAATGCAAGGAAGATTCTGCACTTTAAATCTAAAATGTGTCTCTCGGCTGCTTCGTCCAGAGTTGTCGCATTCGCTCTCCCACTGATCAAGAGGTGAAGAATCTGAGACGAGACATCAGAGCCCCGACTCTCAGTTCGCCAAGAAGCAGCTAATCCTATTCTCAAGTGCACGATACACGACTTAGCCTTCCCCAAGCAACACGAGGAGGCAAGCAGGTCCATGGTTTACAAGTCAAGTCCAAACGTGATATGACTTTCAGAGCTTCTGAACATCCTAATCAGCCTTACATAACAGCATGGAGAAAATAATAATAATAATATAGCGCCTCATCACGTCTTCCAGACATCTCAAAGGGCTCACAAAATATACTGTAAAGTGAATTAACTGTATATTTTGTGGGTGAAATGCAGCGGACAATTGTGAATAGCAGTTTCCCACAAACAGTCGTGGACTGAGTGACCAAATGTTCTTTTAAGGGATTATAAAAGGGTGATTATTAAGATGGGGTGGAAAGCACTGGAGTCTCCTTAGTCGGGATAAGTGCTAGGAGACTTCAACAACAATAACTGATTTTATGCTACCGCCCATCATGCAAGGCAGCATCTCAGCGTGCTTAAAGTGAGAACAAAATGTGACTTGTTGGGTGTTGTCACTTTGCTCCCTGGCATCTCTCCTGCAACTGCGCAGTAGCTCTGGTCTCCTCCAACCCCTGGTTTCATTCCCCACTCGCCCCTCCCATGCTTTTCTGAGCCTCCACCCTCTTTTGTGAAGCTCACAGCTCTTCAAATAACACAAAAGCTGGCGTAAATAGTAATGTATCTGCCACCTCTGCAGATTTATTTTATTATCTTCCCCTCTTCCTGCTTGCTGATGTGATAAGGTGCCGTACGGAATGCATCATTATCATCACAGGGAAGTTAGAATAATAAATGGACTACCTGCTTCTCAGTCATGGCGTAGATGTGCTGGTAATCAGGGCTGAAGACGAGATCACGGAGGATTGGGCTGGTGTCTGCCACAGAAACATTTTCATACAGTAAGATGCCCTCGGAATCCAAGCTGACGGAATTCACTAAAATCTGTAAAACAAACAAACCATCCGTCATTAGCAAAGAGAAGACGGTCAGACTTTCACTCCAAATGTTCTCCGGAATAAAGACGCTCGCTCTTCCCTCTTGGGGCCCGGTTATACATTACTAAAGATATTTCATTAGTGCACTCAGCGTTTCATTACCCGGCCTGTCTGAGGGCACTCTCCTGCTCCAAGCACACACCACACACACACACACACACACACACACGATTATTTTTCTCAGTGGAATTTAATACTTTCTATTTTTGTAACAAGGCTGGAAGCTACAGATAAATATGATGGAAGTACTGTAAATATATTAATCTGACATTAATAACCAGGTGCTGCCATAACTGAGTCGTTCTCGAGAGAAGAGCAATTGTTAAAAGATTAAAAAGACACCCCCCTCATCATCGCTCTCCCTCCGAGACTGGCTCAGTGAGCCTCAGCAATGGGGAATACAGCAGCAATTGTACAGTCAAATCAATCCAAATTCACAGAGGCTTTGCTGGCTTGAGCGTATCTGTTAAACAGATTGCAATGGGACGTCAGCTATGCCCACAGGTTCAAGGCCTAGTCACCTACTTTCCTGCTTGAAGGAAGCAAAAGACAGGGAGCTGAACTAACCCTCTCACGCAACAAAGCCTTATGCAGGAGTATTGTTCCTTGCATCCAATTTCACTTCAGTTCAAATTAGTTGGAATTTTTTTTAAAAAATTGGGAATCAGGGTGAAGAACTGAGACCCACAGAGCATAACTGCACCCTGAGAGAGAAGCAAATCCCGAGTCAAGGTCACACCAACCCTGCCTTCGTATGGTGTAAGGGGTGGCCCAGGTGAAGGGCTATATTTCACAGGAACATACACTGTATAAGATTCTGAACAAAAAAAACTCTTCCTAGGATGATAATTACAACAGAAAATTGATGTTTCCATTTACAACAACTTACATTTATTTATATAGTGCCCCCTTCCTGTCGTGCGGCATCTCGTGTAAAGGTCCTTAAACAGCTGGAAGCCTGGGGCTCGTGGCGTGTGTCTGGAGGTACAACGGTGACAGAAACTGCACGCACTGCCTCGGCCAAAGATCAAAGAGATCCCAAGAGTCCAGCGAGACTACGGAGCTTCCAGCAACAGGAGGAACAGGACAGGACAGCTGAGAGCTCGCCTCTCTGAAAAGCTGTCGGAATCTTCTCCACCGCCGTAGCTGGTCGGGTGTGTTTAACATCCGACTGACAAATTCTTTACAAGGGAACGGACGGAAGAGAGCTGCCAGCGTCTCACAGACATTCACTGAACATGACAGTAATTCGCAACCCAGCTGAAATCGTCAAATCGAGTTTTGACCACTTAAAAGCAGGTTGAGTTCAACACGCTCAAAGACTAATGGAATAAAGGAGTTTGACGCATTATCCACAACACAGCCCGCAATACTCCAGCAAAATAGTTCCATTCAATTGCCATATTGAATTGATATTATTAGACTGGACTTCAATTGGCAGTAATTTAATCCAGATAATCTCAAATGTTATCAAGGTGCACCTATAAACTGCAACTGTGTCTAACCTCAACTTCCTGCAGCTTGGCTGCTCCCAGACGGATAGTCGGAGCTGCTGATGGAAGCAGGGGATCCACTTTCACCTGAACCTCTCAAAGCAGACGTCCAATTATCAATATTCTTTTGGCAGCAAGAACTTTGAAGAGGAATCTTTAAAGAAAATGGGTCGCCTTCCTGTCGCACTTTATAATAGGAATCCTTGCATCTGATATTGGCTGCCGCGTTTCGCCCTCAAATATACGGTCCATTCACTTTACAGTATATTCTGTGCAGCGCTTTGAGACGTCTAGAAGACGTGAAAAGCGCTATATCAAATGCGAGGATTATTATTATTATTAATTATATAGCACGGTTCGTGTCTGGAGGAGGTCTCCAAGCTTTTCATAGGATTTACTGTAAAGTGCAATGACTGTGTATTTGGTAGGCGAATGTGGCAACCAACTTGCACGCAGCAATGTCCCACAATAATAATAATCCTTGCATTTGATATAGCGCTTTTCACGTCGGGAGGACGTCCCATAGCGCTTCACAGGACACACTGTAAAAGGAATTGACTATATATTTGTGGGCGAACGCGGCAGCCAAATACGCACAGCAATTTCCCACAAACAGTCGTAGATTGAAAATGCCAATTTTATTATTGTTTTTGGTTTTGGAGGATTATTATTAGGCTCTGTGTGGAGTAAGGAAACTTGCCCAAGGTTTCGCCCTCTGCCTGGAATTGAACTCAGGTCTCTCGCTTTCAAAGCGAGTGCTCTAACCACTGAGCTACAGGACTCCGCAAGACAGCCGATTTTATCTGGAAATTTATTGCTGGCCAGGAAAAAAAACATCTTTTTCTTTTCCAACAGTGCAATGGGACCTTTAACGTCCACCTGAACTGGCACAGGCGGGAGCTCTGTTTGACATGTCGTTCGAAGGACGGCAACTCTAACAAAGCCGGGCTCCCACAGCCCTTCTCTCGTGTCGGGACAAATCACGAATCACGTGAGCTCAAAGTTCCAATGTGGGGCTTCAACCGAACACCTTCTGATTCAGAGGCAAGAACGAGTGCTACCAATTAATCCAGTCTGATACTACTTTTCGTGAGCGATTGTGCGAGGGGGGGGGGGGGGTGCGAAGAGGGATTAGACGATCCTGTCAATCTTTGGCAACTTCATTTTAAGACCAACTATTTTGCTTATCCCTGCAATGACGTCTCTTGGTAAGTACCCTGTGCGCCTCCGTGCAGTAAGCCACACTGACTGGCCAGGCTCCAGGTTAGATTCCCAGCTTGTGCTGAGTTAGCTGATCTCAGCTGCCATAGTGGCAGAGATATGGCAATTAGTCTCAGTGCTTGGAGGGGGGAATAACAGCTAGGATTTCTGCTACTGATCACAATCCTTTGACCCCGACTTGAAAGGATGTCAATGGGGTGAGGGGGGGGGTGGGGGGACGGGGCAGCGGGTGATTGCAGATGTGGACAGGATTAGTCTCTCTTCAGCTAAATCACCAACAAACACATAAATGTGAGGAACGGGTGAGGAATTGTACAGCACAAGTGTAAAAATAGGAATTGTCAAGAGCAAATAGAGTTTGGGTCGTGTGAAGCTAAAAAAATCAACTAACGTTGTATTGATCACTCTATCTTGCGGCAATGCCTAAGCGATGGTGGTGGGGGGGGTGGGGGGGAGAGGGGGAGGGAGAGCAGAAAGAAAAGACCAGAGGGAATCTGTACAAAATTCCCAGCTCTGATTTAATCCCAAAGAGGATTGTCATTTTGAAATATCACCAACATCTAGAATTTGAACCTGAGGTTCAATCTCTCTCCAAGCAATGTTATTGTAGGAGCTCATAATTCACTCGAACATAGGTAAAGGCTGGTCTTCAGAAACCTCGAGATTTAAGAAGAAAAAGGAATGAGGAAGGAGAGAGTTCCACATCTCATACATTATAAGATTTCATCCATCGGAGGAATTTGTCGCTAGCATAGCTATAAGAATAAGAATTACATTTGATATAGCGCTTTATACAGTCAATTCACTTTACAGTATATTCTGTGAAGCACTTTGAGACATCTAGACATGAAAAGCGCCATGTCAAATGCAAGGATTATTATTATTATCATCATCACATCACTGAGACGTCTCAAAGCGCTTCTCAGGATATACTGTAAAGTGGATTGACTGTGCATTTTGAGGGCGAACCGCGGCAGCCAATTGCGCACAGCAGTGTCCCACCAACGGTCGTGGATTGAGTGATGACATTTTTTTTTAGGGGGGGGGGGGCGGGGAGGGATTATTATACCCAAAAAGCAATCCACCGATCGTCTAACATCCAAGTGACTGCTAAGTAAACAGAGTTGACAAAAGCTGGAGGCCTGAGCGGATGAGGCTGAATGACAAGACACTGTCATGTTACAAGAACGAAAGGATTCACAGATTCCAGTGAGGTGAAGGTTCCAGGGATGGATGGTCTGGAACTCGCTTACAAACGCTGTCCATTTCTCTGCTGCCTGATCAGCACATGTAAAAATGCCAAGACAAGGGCGCTTGGGGGTGGGGGGGGGGGGGGGGGGGATTTTGGTCAGCCTGACACTGAGCTCCACAAAAGTTGCATTTCGACAACTTCAGGGAAGATTTCCTATCATTCTGTGAGGGTACAAGAAAATGAGGGATGGGGCAGAAGAAATAAAGAATTTGAGAGGGGGGGGGGGGGGCAGATAATCTGGAGCTACCTTTGAAGTGCTGCCTCGTAATTCCTCATCACACGACCAGCAAACAGCGGGGAACAAAGTTGAAAGTGCAAGATTAGCAGAGAGGCTGTAAAAAGTATCACCATGTTGTGAACAGCACTTCCTTTCATGAAGTCCTTTCAGCTGTTTTATCCTCCAGCACCGGCTAATCGAGGCCCGGCACCCAACTAACCCAAAGCAGACCCAGCCCCTTCCAACACACACTTCTTTCATTTCCAGTTCGTGTCGAGCTGAAACGAATCAGGGTGTCAGCAAACTCTGTTTGGGCACCGGGAGAGAGATCAGCCCGCGACCCACACCCTGCCCTCGCCCAATCTAATAGTCTGCTGTCAAGTGACCTCCATGGCCCATCCCAACGTGGAGGGAAAAGGGAATCTAATGTCTTCAGAAAAGTTGGGGAATATCTTAAGAGGAAAAACCTATCACACCACAGCAACTTGCATTGATATAGCGCCTCTCAAAGCACGACTCCGAGCCAGGGGGAGGGGGAGGTGACCGTAGCCATGGTCGAATAGGAAGGTCTTCGTTCATTTTGTGTGCTCTATTTGTGCTTTCAGTCGTGAATCCACGACTATCAAACAGAGGAGAGACTTTAGGAAATACAATGGGCTGCTGAAAACCAATGATTTATGGGTGATCTGGGCGGAACGGGCCGGGATGAAAAAGCAGACCTCGTGCCACTCGTTTTCTAACAGAAAACCAGGAAAAGCTTCTGG